CTGTAGAACTTACAAATTCAGTGGCATTCACCAGTGACCAGTCAGATCCTCCTCTCTTTAGCACACCTGGCACGAGGAGTCACTGCCCTTAGAAAGTTAGGGTCCAGTAGGAGAGAGGGAAAAAAAACTACACGCCTGGATTTCATACTCAATATTCTAAAAAGGAGAAGAGGCACTATTTCTGCTTTTGAAGATGACTGAGAGACTTTTTAAAAGACCATTGAGCTGACATTTTAACCTGTGCTTCAAACCCCTGGGAAGTCACAGTGAGAAATCATTAACTGTATCCTATTAAAATCCTTAAACAAGAGACCTGAACTAGTCTCATTGATTGAAATATCTTCTCTGTTTCTAATTCAGTGTTTATCCTCATGCTCTCTTGGGGTTCTTCTGAGCAAGAGATGCCCAGTGTGTGTGATGCTCTGCGGTTCTCTACCAGTGGCTGATCTAATACCGTCAACTAATTGTATTGAGAACTGTAGCTGAGAGTATTTTGGAGTTGATTTGCTTAAAAAAAAACCCACTTATTTAATTAAACAAGGGAGTAAAATTTTCTAACTTATTCCCAGTTCAAGACAGTACGACATCACCAGCATTGACTGAATTTATCCTTTAGTAAACTTATTAGATAAATTGAATACCATCAAAACCAAAGATGTCTCTTGATGTCATAAGATATGAATGTAAAATATTTTAGGGAGGATTGTATACAATATTTATCCGTAAGGGGGTATTTACACTTAATGTTTTATGTCTATTTTATATATTTGTAGCTCTCTAGAAACTCCTCCTGTGCTCCTTTGTGGCATGTTCTTATATCCTTTCCTCCATTGCTGTCCTCCCCCACCCTGTCCCATCTTATTGAATCAGGAACATATTTGTGCTGTATGTAAATTCATAAGTGTTTCTCTTGTCAGAGTCTGGTAGGATTGTTATTGCTCCCTGATGGCATTTCATTCGAAGCGCAGTGAAATCTCTTGCACTTGTCACTTGGATTAGAATGAACATTTTACATGGGCAGAGGATGGAAGGGTGATGATTATAGAGGGAAAGTCTTTGCAGGGAAATTCCATTAAAATTAAATTTTAAAGTGAAACAAGCTTTTTAAAAAAGTCATTGATTTTCTAAAAATAAACTAACCATTGGTAGTAAGAGTTATTTTTGGGTGTGCTGGAAAGTATTCTGTATTCTGAGTGATGTCAGATGTTGAAAACCCAACTTGATAGCAAGATTTTACCAAATCAGATCGTCATGGCAAAGTACTGAATTTACTATGCATGAGCCCGTGAAGTCATTGCCTTACTCATCACTCCGTCAGTAAAGAGTCAGGATGTAAGGAATGCTGTGGGGCAGGGGGACTCCAGCCCCTTAAAAGAGTCCTCCCTGCAATTACCTTACCTGCCAGCTTTCCAGCAAGATAAATGGAAGCACTGTAGCTTGAAGGTGTCTTGGTTAGAATGAGATGCAGTAAGGTCTCTCTGTTCTTTACAGGCATCATAGATCTGATAGTGCTTATAAAAGAAGGATAGAGTTGGTGCCCTGCTGACTAAATTGTCCTCTGGAGGGGTATTAGTTACAGAGCTTCTTTGTTAACTAGGCTGAATGTTTAAACCACTGTTGAACTTCTTTTATTAACATGTTGTTAAGATAGCTATACATATGGATACCCTAAGTATCTGCAGGGCGGGAATATTTCTCTGTAATTTACATACAAAAGTTACGTGTGTGTATAACAGTAATATAGAAATTACATCTTTTTATTACTCTTCTGTTACACTGAAGTGTAGTCAGCACTGAAATTCTGATGACAAGTGAACACTAAGAAAGCCACCATTTTTATATTTTTCTCTTGATATTTCCTTGATCAGCTTGTTGAATAACAGACATGTTTTTCATGCCTTTGCAGCTTGAATGAAGCTCTCTTAACACCCATCCGTGTCACTTTTTCAACCATAACATGGAATTTAAGGGAGGACAGGGAAGAAATTAATAGGTTGTGCAGAGAATTTAAAAATTTTCAAAGTAACAATTTGATTTTTTAGAAAGAAACATTTGCATAAAATTATTTAACTTCAAATAATGATTTTTTAAATTGAATCTTCATTATCTTTTCTATGTTTAATTCCATTTTGTAGTATAATAGAAGATAATTATTTTATATCTAGTTACCCACCAATTTTTTTTTTTTAAAGAAAGCATGAAAAACATGTTTCCTCCCAACTGATTCTTGTGTCATGGACCCCTGTTGATGAATGATACATGTTTGTTAGGTGTTAGGGTATCTGTACGCGGAGCTTACCACCCATTCTTACTGGGGGCTCCCCAGGTTAGTCTGTGGTTGCCACTCTGTCTTCCAGGTGGGTGTAGTTGTGGAGTCAGTCCCTGTTCTTGGTGAAGCTTGTACAGTTCCTAACGCACTTGGGTCACCATGCATTTCAGCTGAGACCTGTCCTCTGCTTTCCCCGAGGGAAGAGGTAAAGGCATCAGAAGCCATACTAGATACCGCAGGTCGGCACTCTTTATGTAAGGGCCAGATCGTGAAGTTTTTAGGCTTTGAAGGGCCACAGGGTCTCTTTCAGGGTTTTCGTTGCAGCTCGAAAGCAGCCACAGACAGTACTTAAAGGAATGGCTGTGGCTGTGTTCCAATAAGACTGAAATTGGCATTTGAGATATTTTTCACATACCACAAAATATTACTCTTTTTATCTTTTTCAGTCACTTAAAACTGTTTGGCTTGTGGGCAGAGCAAAAATAGGAAGGGTCTGATTTTAGCCCGCCTGCTTTGGAGAGCGCACAGGTGTGTGTCCCTTTGCACCTTTATGAGTTGGTTATATCAAGTTAGGAAAGAAATGCCTTGGGAGCAGGCACTTCAGGAACCATCCAAGACCTAACCACTCTTCCACACCCCCAGCCACCCTGGCTCTGAGACTGTGCCCGGGGGTTGGTGGGGCAGGGGGCAGCATTCAGTCTCAGGTGGGAGAAACAGATGGAGTCCTGTCCTGTCGTCCCTTTCAGCACTCAGCACGTCAGCATGCGTGGACATCTGTTAGCTTAAGTTTTGTTTGAGGAACTCAAATAATCGCCTTGATTGCTGAAATGTGAGTACTTTCTGCATTGTATGTAGCATGTTACTTGCTTAATAATCTTCCTCTGTTTTTACCTAGCTTCACAAAAGTTGTGTTCAGTCTGAAAGTCTGAATCAAACTATTGCTGAACCCATGATCAAGTTGAATACAATGTTTTACCAGCTGAATATGTGCAAAATCTTGCGTCTCGTCTCGTCTGTGTGCCCTAAGTTGAAGTGTTTATATATTGTTTCTCTGAATTCTCAAAATGTGATTCAGTTTGTCTCATTTTATTTTGGAGATCTGATGATACTTTTTCTAGGGGTGATATTTTCAATCACTATTTTTATGTTTCTTATTCATAAGTGCAGTTATGACATTGAAGATTATTCTCTATTTTACTTGGATGTTAATTTTAGCATAAAACATTTTTGTTTTTCTCTAACATTCATCTTTTTGTAACGTTTTCATCAGCTATTCTTTAGAATGTGTTTTTAATCATTGGCAATTTTGATGTTAAAAAGAGAAGTAAATAATATAACAGATGATTAACAGATAAACTTTCCAGGAGACTAGGATCCTAATCCTGAATTTGCTTTGTGACATTTTGGGGTACCCTGAAAAGCTATAACCAACTCTGCTTTACCTGGCCTCTTTTGTAATTCCGGTCTAGATTCATTCTTCAAATTGTAAGCATCTTCCTCCACCAGTTTGCAAAGCCCTAGTTTTAGCAGTCCCAGTAGTAAGCAGAGATAAAATTAAACATTAATAAAATTGCATGAGTGGAAGGTGTCAATTAGGATTGAATATGCTTTGCAGATGGTGGCATAACCTGGTATTTCTGATCCCATTCTGCAGTATTTAGTCCTCGATTATCAAGACAAATATGTTTTATCCTGCAGCTTAGCCTTGAGCGCTCGTTCGGCACCTAGCTCTGGGCGTTACCTGCCTGGGTTTGCAGGCTTAGTGATCTGGGAGCCCAGGCCTGCGCTCAGGTTCGGGCTGCTGCTGGCAGGGGCTGCATTCGAGAGCCGGTGCTGCGGCGGGGAGGAAAACCAGGGTGAAGACTCTGTCCTCCTCTGGCTCTGATGAGGGTGTGAAAGACAGGCTCCTCCTTTTCTCTCATTCTCCCTTCTTCATCTCAGCAGATGCTGTCTGTTCTCCGTGGTTCAACTAGTAACAGTAACTTTGACTCTCTGACCTTTCGCTTCTGTATCTGTCAAATGGGGATTTTAATAACTGCTGTAGAGGGTGTTATGATAAAATTACAGGACTTTATAGATTGTTGAACTTAAAACTGTTACAAAAAGTAAGATTTAACATTAGGACTCATTTCTGCCAACATAACTTCAAAGGGACTTATTTTCACAATATGAGATAAAAATACACATGCCACTCTTATAACAGCACTTCCGCAATTACTTAAAATGGAAGAATTGCTCACCAAAAGTTTGGTTAAAATCTTGACTGTTACTACATTAGAAGTTTGGGATTCAGACAGCCCTCCGATGCTGATTTCAAAATAGAAGGATCCAAAGTCTCTGGTTTTCAGTTTAATGAAATGATCATTTACAAATCAGGCATGTCATTCAAGTGGAACATCACCACCTAGAGTGCTGTTTCCTGTGACTTTTTGAACAGGTTTATTAGACTAGATACTGACAGCTTAAAGGAAAGCTATAGGATAGTTTTATGAAAGAGAGGTGGAACTCTATTCACTTTTTAGCGATAGACCAGATCCTGTGGGTTCAACTTATAAGAGACGTCATTACAGTCTTCTAGTAACAAGTGGCCATGCTCTGAATTTTGAGCATTACCTAGCAAAACTCTGATGCTGAAGGGGGCTTTGTTATGGTTTTCAATTAGTGTTTTAAACATGTATTGGTCCAAATATGTGTTAATCTAATAAATACACACTGTTTCTTTCTTTCTTAGGATCTGTCTGGCTCCATCGATGACCTCCCCACCGGAACGGAAGCAACTTTGAGCTCAGCAGTCAGTGCATCCGGGTCCACGAGCAGCCAAGGGGATCAGAGCAATCCGGCTCAGTCGCCTTTCTCTCCGCATGCATCTCCCCATCTCTCCAGCATCCCTGGGGGCCCATCGCCTTCTCCTGTCGGCTCTCCTGTAGGAAGCAACCAGTCCCGATCTGGCCCAATTTCTCCTGCAAGTATTCCAGGTATTCATTTCTTAATAATTATTATTTTACTCTGTAAGAAATACAGACCTAGTGTTTTATCAATAGCAACAGCAACATATGTACCATTACTATTATTATTATTATTTTTTTACTATTTAAAAACCTAAGGATTTGACCATGTGTTAGGAGTATAACTCTAAATTATCACCAAAGCATACAAGACTCCCAGTTCCTAAAGATACTCAAGTAATGAACATAAACACTCAGTGAATACAATCACGAATTTCTTTGATATTTTCAGCTTACACATTTCCCTTAACTTATGCAGAAAATTATTTATTCTCTTAGCATATGTTTCATAATGATTCTGTTAAAGAAGATCCTCTGTTGATAAGTGCCACTAAGGTGAGATTGTTGGGTAGTACTAGCCCTAGTTTTTAGGGTTCTTTTAAATTTATACCACGGCATTTATTTTTAAAAATATTTTCAGTGTTTGTACTTATCGGTGTCTTAATTTGCCAGCACACTTCCAAGGCCTTGTTGTTAATAGCCTTACCTTCTAACTTTGATATTAAGGAGTTCCTGTTCCAGTTAACCTCTCGCAGTCAGCTGTTTCAGTGGTCATACTACTTCTGTACTTTTTGCTTCCTTTATTATGTACTTGAGGTTAGTTACTTGTTTATTGGTCAGTTGCCTCATCCTCATTCAGCTTTCTTTCTTACATCAAACATCATCATTTCAGACCCACCAAGCAACTAGCTTTCTGTTATCTGCAAACTAGATGTAATTTATTTTTCCTGTGTAACTTTTGCTAGGGTAATGCTGGTGGCTGCCAGAAAAGCACTTTTGACTAATCTGTGAGAATTGATACTGCATTGCTGATAAATTTTCTGAAAGTTTATTATCTTGAAAATGTAGATGGTAGTTTTATCCCTTTTTACTCCTTTACTCTTTTTATATTTTAAATAAATACTTATTATTGCATGTTTTATATATATATATACAGATGTATGTGAACATATGAAAAATGCTAATTATGAAACATAACTATCAAGTGAGTACTTACGACCTACTGTCCAGTTTGAGTCTTACCAGTATTACTGTCTCCACCTGTATATTCCTTCTTTATCTCTGGCCCTATACCTCTCCCCTGCCTCAAATATTCTCTGAAAATATTTTAAATCACTCTTTTTGGGTTGTTTGGGGATTTGTTTTTTTTTTTAAGAATTTTATTATACCTATCGGCTAGAGTATATATTGTTAGTTTTATGTAGTTATGAGTTTTATTAGAAATATATCATATTTTAAATGACTATGTAATTTATTAACCATACTGAGACACTTCTGAGTATATAAGGGTTGCTATTAATAATTGCAGTAGAACAGCCATAAACCATGAAGGTCTGAGCAAATGAAGAAATGTGCTCACCCCAATAATACTGCATGTGGCCTCCTCCAAGTTAGTTTTTTGACTAAATATTATGGTCCTAAGACCCATATGTTGAATATACCTATATTTTAATACATTTTTGTTAAGACATTTTTATGTTACCTTTCTTTCAAAAATATTTGTCCTCATAATGATTGTCATAAAACCTGGATTTACCTGCTTTTTACATTTTTAAAGCTATATATACTCTGTATTCCAGAATTCCTGAGGCAATTTTTGGTATTGAGTTGGTTATTGAGATACTACTTACCTGAACATTGGAAAGTTATAAGTAACATAGTGTATTTGTCAAAGAAGAACTTACTCCTTCTTTCTGAATTGGATCAAAAGGACTTTCTTAATAACCTGAATGAAGACTTTTCTGAGGTATAAAGATACTTTTGTTTTTCATTTGAAATCCCTGACATGGGTTGTTCGCAATCTGACAATTTTCATATGTATATTTATCATTCCAGATGGGGATTTTGAAACTTCTATTTCACTGTTTGGATTTTGATATAGTGTAGAACACACGTAACCCTACAAAAGAGCTCGCTTTGGATGTGTGATAGTACATGTTGTAGAGGAGGCAGATGGAACTGGTCCCAGAGTCCGGTACTTAGTTGTGTTTTGCACACGATGAAGTTGGTGGATGACACGTCTGATGACCTATTAGCCCTGTCACAAATAAGGCCGGTCCTTCAGAGTACCTGCAGGGGGAAACTGAATGTCAATTTTCTCTGCTAACTTCTTGGGAAAGTGAGTTTTTAATAGAAAACTTTCAGCTTTCTTGGGAATGATGCTTAAGGCTAATTGTTTTTTAAACTTGTGTCAGAAATTCTAACTGCCCAGGGCCAGGGCCTACATTTTACTTCATCGTATGGCAGCCGGTATTACTCTCCGTGACGCCTGATCACACTGGTCAGTGAAGTTCAGTACAGGGAGGAGGTTACACAGCGGAAGTTCCACTTGTTTTCAGAAGCATGTCAGTCAAGTTAATTCGTAACTAACTTTGCTGAGTGTGACGCTGTATACTAACAGAATTATATGAAACTTCTCAAACAGAACATTTCTTTAAGTTATTTTAAGGGGAATACCCTCTTAGAAAATCTGCTGAGCAGTTTTGGCATTTATTCACTTTTCTCCCTGGTAAATTACAAATAACATTTGAACTGGACAGACTTTTAAAATCATCATATCTCACCTCATTTTGTTGCCACTTACTGTGTAATCCTGGACAAGCCTCTGATCCTTTGTGCCTCAGTTTCTGCATCTGTAAAGATAATAATCACATCTCATAGGGTGTACTACGATTAAATGTGTTACTACGTATAAAGCAGGCATGTAGCAAACATTCAGCGCATGTTAATTATTGTTGTGATTGCAGTCATCATTATTCACACTGAGGTGTTGAGACTTGTCCATGACCATTACTGTCCAGAACAGCACAGCTGGCTTTGGCAACAAGTCTTCTGATTCCTAATCCACTGGGGCTCTGTGCTGTTCAGAAGATATGTATTTAAAGTTTCCAGTGATGATTTGCTGTGTTCACTGAGGTTGTTCAGTTGGACCACAGGAGCTAGCCATAAAAGCATAATGTATTTTCACAAAGTTGAATTTATTTTTCTCCTAACTTGAAAAAAAAAAGATAGGTCATCGGTTGCTCTTCTTGGTTGGATGTGTCTCGGAAGGTTAAGAGGAGACAGAAGACAAGCATCTAGACCCTTGCTTCACTCGGACTATAGGCAAATCGGTTTCTGTGCGATATGTTGGGCAGGAAGTCTAGCATAAAATTTAACAATAGATGAAGTTCAAAATCCTGGATTGTTTCTCACGCATTTTGCATATATCGAGACAACGTCAGCCCGCCCTCTCTGTGTTCCTGCCCAGGGGCTGCCACATGCACTTGAGCAGGCTGCTTACTGGGCCAGGGCCATTGGCTGGAGGAGAAAATGGGAGCTGAAATTCAGGCTGCTCTCCTGGTGGAAGGGGCACCCTTTTATAGTTGACACAAAGGAGCCACAGCTGTCAGCACCCTTGCCCTGGACCTCTAGGTAGTCACCTCCGTGGCTTGAGTCCGCATACCACCTGTTTCTCTACTCTGTTCCCACAGCTAAGCCCAGAGACATGAAAACATACATTTTTGATAGATGAGCATCAAAAATTTTATGTGGTGTTACTTTATGGGGTGTGTTAAGAATCATGCAGGTTTTTATTGAAAAAAAATTTTGGTCTTCTCTTTCCCTCCATTTAGCCTATGTGGCTTCTATTGTGAAATTTTTTTAAGATGATCATAAAGTTGATTTTTTTTGGCTTTTTATTTAACTATTAAGTACAAGCGCTCTTCCTTGGAGAGTAAGCGATTCCTTAGGCTCATTGATTAATCTCACCTCTGCCTTTTCCCAGCTCTAGTCCTTACATTAAATTTTGTTGATCTGTACATTAGAGCCTATGATAATTTACAGTCTACCTTTATTTGCTTCTGAGTCTGTACCAGTGAAATACCAATGTCAGGTAGAGAGTGCATGGTTCCTCACCCAGAGCGTAATAGTCAAACTGCTGCTTTGGGAACATCTGTTTGGAATTTCCCTTTATTTTTCTGTCTGTAGCCTCTTGCTTTCTTTTCTCTCCCTTCCTTCCTCTCATTCCCAGCACTAACTTGTTTTTCCTGACCTCACTTCTCTCCCATTACCTCCTGCTATATCTTGCTACTGCCTCTCCCTGTGTCACAGATTGGCTCTTTCAATCATTGTCTCTCCAGCAAGTCATTGTTAAAATGTGCAGCTGTTGTGTAGCTGATAGCTGCGGAGAGGGAAAGCCAAAATGTTTGAGGGGATTCTTCCCAGTGCTGCTTTCCTGGGGTTTGTCGAAAAAGAGCAATCATTTTTCTCCATCTTTGCGCTGGCAAATGAAATTGACAGCTAATGAGAAGTATCACAGAGGTAGATAAACAAAAGCCCAGTAAAGCATCCTGAATGGCTGAGTCTGTTTCTTGCCTGTTAAACTGTTTCTCCACCCACTGCAAATCTGCCCTCCTATCATGCTGCCTCACGAACGTTGTGAGTGTCATGGGAACAACTTCTGTAACACACTGGCACTGTATCAGCCCTGGCACATCCCTAACTCAGTGGGGCTTTTCCTTCCTGCGTTCTTTGGAAAAGCAGGATGGAGGTTTTTCTGTGGTAAGTAGCCACATGGATTCTCTCCCTTTGTTTGCACATTACTGGGCTCCAGCATTGCAGCTGTCTGTAGTTGGAAGGGAAAGGATTCAACCTGGTTGTTTAAATCTAAACAAGCATTTGAGGACAGAAATGTAAACGTTACACATTCCCCCAAGGCCATTATACATTTTCTTGGTTCTTACTTATCGTTTTCATTTCCCTCTCTTCTTCATATTGATGTATTTATATTTAGAGACAGAAATGAAATCTCTCCATCTTTCTAATTGGTAGTGTGCACGTATACACGTATTTAAATAAAGCAAAGCTAATGTCGGGTGCAGTTGATTCTGAAATGTATGGTATTAAACATTTTGTTTCCCTTCTAATAAATGATCCAGTTGCATTGTACTTTTGCTGCTTCCTGGATTGCAGCCTGGAGTTTTTTACCT